TAAACCTGGGCTTCTAGTACTCTCCTTACAAAATATGTGAGGCTGTATCAATTACAGCAAAGACGTCGCGAGCTTTCTCCTGGCATATGGCAAGGAGGAAGATAATTATCTCCTAAATTGCTGGCTTTCTAATTGAGTCCCCACCCTCTCCAAATCCGAGGATGTAAGTATAGATGGGAAAAGCAGTCATTTACAGAATCTCCAAAACCAGGCTCTTCTCTAAAATGAAGGTAAGCCTATAAATTTCATGTGAAGTGTAAAGTAAATAAAAACGATGGCGGAACTGAAAGGGCTTCTTCAAAGGCTCCGCCAGCAGATGCAAATGTGTGTCCCCCGCAGCGCGGGCAGAGGTGGGCCAGGCAGCCCGGAGGAAGCCCATGTGCGGTGCACATGACTGTGTATAAATTGGGGCTGTTATTTGTGTTTTCGTGGACAATGCCCAGGAGGTAGAACTTCATCCCACCTGCAATTTTTTTATTAAAACAATATTTTAATGAAACAGTAAGACCTTCTCCGTATTTGAAATAAAATAAAATAAAACAGTGCAGGTGCAGTTTCGTCGCTCAGATCACCCTCTCAGTCCCGTCCCATTTCCTACTCACCACCCTGAGGACCTCAATAATATGTGGTGACATTTGAAGGCTGTTTCTACTTCCTGGAAAGCAGGGAGCTTTGTGAGCACTCCGCTATCCCAGGCCTATCCCAGGCAACCGAACATGCACACACATGCATGTACCCATGCTCTCATGTCCATGTGCATGCTGCGCACGTGCACATACAGCAAACATCCTTTACTGCTGTGGCAGTGCCCCTCTGAGGTGCCATCCCACAACCTTCTCTCTTAGAAACACATGAAGAGCTTGTTTGAAAGCAGATTCCTGGGCCCTGTCTGCTTTGGGCACTCCCAAGGCGGAGGACCACCGCCGTGTGGGAGGGACCACTTTGGCGAACTTCCTGAGGGTGCTCTAGTTAGGTTCTCCCCGCAGATCCGACCCTCATAACGCCAGGAGGACCCATCAATGTGCATGTGCAGGCGTGTGCGCATGCCCACATGTACTCAAGCATCTACCTGCCTGTACCTATATAAGATGCACATTCTAATCTTGCTCATGACCACCTGATTTTTTTACCCATAAAGTTCAGAATCAGTACTGCAAATAGTATTCTCAGAAGAGATCGAATAGTCATATTCCTGGGAAAGCCTGGGGTGTTTGTGTTTGTGTGTGTGTGGGTGGGTGTGTGTGTGTGTGTGTTTAAATTCACTGTTGTACAATACGTGTGCTCATGCACACACAAATATATATGATATCTTTGGGAGATTTGTATGTAAATTCAGCAGGTGCAGTCTTTTCAGAAGGATGTGACAATCTCATGTGCCATTGCTGAGGCTTCAATCTGATGTTCATCTCACAGCCCAAAGCAGAGCCCTTCAGTTCACGGATGAAACTGGGGTTTCCCATGGCTCTCATCTGATGTCCTGAGGGATGTAGATTTGGGGTGA